TCTGCTTTAACAAGAAAAGGAACCCTTGAACATGAGGATTTCCACAGGAGCATTATTGGGGTGCCACTGTGAAGCTGCCCTGGGCTGGGGGAGCCCAGGCAAAGAGGCTGTGAAGAGCCCAATGAAAGGGAAAGTGAAGCCCCTACCCAGAGTCATGAGGTGTTTTAAGAACAAGAGGCACTGCATGGACTGCTCAGGGAGGAGGAGGAGTGGAGAGATGAGGCTCTGGAAGGAGAGATTAGGGCTCAGTGGGCTCTGCAGTGCTGACAGCAGCAAGCTCTGCCTCTCAGTGATGCCTCAGGTTTTTGCTTTTATATTTTCACATTCTGTGCTGCTTTAGTGTGTGGGTCTGGGTTCATGTTAGGGGATGCTGAGCTCTGTGCACAGAGCAGGGAGACAAAACAATTCCTGCTCTAGCTGGGACCAAGGACAAAGGATCCAAATCTCAGCCCCAAGAGTACAAACAATGGACTGAAGGATGGGACTGCATGGGCTGGAGCTGTAATTGGACAATTAACTCCAATATGCAAATGGACCAAAACTTATAAAAGTGTGAGACCCCATGACCTGTGGTCCATTTTCTGGCCATTTGGGGTTGTGCTGCCCAAGGTGGATCCATTGAGGATATCCTTTTAATAAATCCCTACTTTATTCTTTAGCTCAATCTAGCCTCTGTTCTAGGTCAGCCTTCACAAGGCATCACTGCAGTCCCTGCTCTGGGTGTTCTGGGGAGCTGAGCCTCCCTGCACCCACTGGGATGGGAGAGTGACCCTGACTGGGACAGTGATGTGATGGCTGACTCTCACAATTAAAAGGAAATATCATATATATGTGTTAAGAGAAATTTTACGGATTTATAGTAAAGTTTTACCCCTCTTGTGTTGTTATCAGGGAGTTGCTTGGGTTTGGGACATTTAGGAGGGTCAGCTCCTTACTGTGCAGCACCTGAGCTTCAATCAGGATGTCAGGAAGGGATCTCCACCACTGGACAGATGGACAGAACTCTGGGGGAAACTAAAGGGTTAAAAGACAAAACCTCCGTTGTGTGGATGAGCACATGGTGGGAAAAATCATCTCCTCCCGGTGCTCTAATATTTTCTCAATTCAGTTTTCTGTTGTATTTTTGATAAGGTTTTAATAAACCTTTTAATTTTTGGAAGTGAGTATCATTTCTCACAATGGGGGCTGAGCATCCCTGCCCTGCTCCAAGGAGCTGCAGAGAGCAGCACCATCATCTTCCCCACCCTCAAGGTTACAGAGCACTGGGGAGGAGGAGAGGGTGACTTGACAGAAATACTAATCCGGCTGAGCTGCAGGATTAGGGAAAGAAATTCATAGAAGAACCTGCAAAAAGCATGAAAATAACAGGCATATCTGGCTGGTTTATTCCTCTCCTGGGCAGGGAACAACCTTCCTCTGATGTGAGCCACAGTTACACAGGCTGGGGGGAATTCTGCAGCCAGTGATGAATAAAGGCTGGGGCTGATCCATCAACAGCTGCAGAGGGTCTTGCACCCCTGCTCCTGTCCTTGACCCCCTTCACCAGTACCTGCACCAGCTCTGGCACTCATGGGCTCAAAGCAAGCTCTTTCAACCCACAGATGTGACAGAAAATGAATGTGGGAGCAGAGATGAGGCTCTGGGCAGTGAGGAAGGTGTGCCCAGCTGAGCACAGTGCCAGGGAGCCCTGGGTGAGAACAGGCTCAGCTCTTGGTCAGAGCTGTCCCATCCATTCAGGTACAACTCCACACTGCACAACAGCACCTGGGGACATTGTTCTGCCAGAACCCCTCAGGAAGGAGCTGTGCTGGTGTCTCATGTGCAGGAAACATGCCAAGTACTGTGGAGTTCAACTCCAGGTGAGGTTAAGAGGGAAGCTCAGCTCCTGCTGCTGACTCTGTGACCATGGGAAGCTGTGATGGGACAGACAGACCCCTCCTCACTTTGCCCCTGGGGCTGGAGGTCAAACAGTCCCTTCAGAGAGCCCCATCCAAAGAGCTGCTCCCATCTGGAGGGCCAGGGCTGGCTCTGCACCGTGGCTGTGCCCCCTCCATGCTGGGAGGGCTCTGTGCCACAGGGACTGTGCCCTGGCACCCAGGAACCTCAGCAGCTCCCTCTGAATTCCCCATGGCTCCTGCCTCCCCATGGATGCACCCAGCCCTGCCTTGCACAACCAGCACAGCATGAAGGGACAGGCTCCAGGAGGAGATTCTGACAGAGATTCAACGTCCCAGTGTTCAGAGAATCCAAGGCAGAGTGAGACAAGCTTGCTCCTGAAGCCAACAGACAGCACAGCTTGGCTTTCATTCCTCTTTTCCAAAGCCCTGCTTGTCCAAGGGAAGAACCAGTGGGTTGGCAGAGGTCTGGACAATGTGAAACCTCCCCAAAACCCCACTCCTGAGCCTTGTCCTGAGGGTCCTGCACAGCAGAGCCTCCCAGGGCAGTTCCAGCTGTAACCTCCTCTCCTGTCTGTGTTTGTGCTGTTCCTCTCCCTCTCCACCGTGTCCCTTTCCTTGGCCACTCCCAGCACAGCTCCCCAGGCCCCTGCAGGCTGAGCTGTGCTGAGGGACAGGCAGAGCCCACAGGGTGCTCAGCAGAGCTCTCAATTGCTGCTGGCTCCTACCAATCAACCTCCAAACTTGTTGAGATTCTCTCTCTAATGTGCTTCAGCAGACACTTTGTCCCAGGAGGACTGAGCTAAATTGAGTTGCAGGGCTGCAAATCACGCAGCAGCCTCATTTTAATCATGGCTATTCAAGTGCTAAGGAATGCACAAAGTAAATACATATTTGTTTTTAGGCCATCACTTGTCCCATTTGTGAGAGGAAAATGAGTGTACTCAATCCCTGAGGCTTTGATCCTCACAGGATAACTTGGGAAATGAACCGGCCACAGGAAATACAGCCTTGGTTCAGCCCTGTGCCCTCTGCCAGAGCTCCTCTCCTGGGTCTGTTAACCCTCTCACTCACATCCCCACGTTCTAATGAGGCTTTCACCCTCCCCACTGTCCCTGGCACCCCCTCTGCAGTCCCTGCTGCCTTCCTGGGCACTGATTTCCCTGAGCTGTGCCAGGGATCCCAGTGCCAGGGTTGAGCTGTGCCCTTGTGTGAGCTCAGGCTGGAGGCAGAGCGCGGAGTGCCCAGGGCTGCAGGTGCAGCGCTGCCTGTGCCAGGCTGCCCAGGTGGTTGGCTTTGCAGATCAGTCCTTGACTTCTGTGCTACTTCAAACACATTTGAATAAATACTCTGCATCCTGAGATTTGATCAGCCTGCACTCCCAGTGCTGCAGTGTCCTTCTCTTTGGCGTGCCCTGCTCTCTGTGGGGATCAGCCTGGCTCAGCTGTGACACAGAGCTAAAACTCTGGATGCTCTGGATGCATGCCAGGCCTCCACACTCTTCTCCTGGGCATTCCCCTCCGTTAGCTCTAGCTGTGGTTTGGGATCTTCCCTGTGCTCCAAGCATGAGTCAATCTCTGGTCTCCTTTGCTCTCCCTCTCTGCCCTGCTCTCCTCCCATTGGAATTCCTGTGTCTCAAACCTGTTCCAAGGTCACCCCACCCCTCCCTGGACTTAAAATTCACCTAAGCAGGGCCTGCTGGTCACAGTTTCCCCACTTGAATCACAGCTCCCCTCTCACCCAGACTACACCTGGCAGGGTCAGAATGGGAACAATTCCTCTTCTTAATCTCCAGATCAAATGTACCCACAAGACCTGGCCATAAAACCTCCCCAGCCCCATAACTGGGGGCAGCTGCATTTTTTGGATGCCCTGCCCAGCTCACAGATTCAGAGACTGTGGCAGTCTGATCAGATGTGACATTTCTGGCTGTGCCCTCCATTCTGCAGTCCAACAATGGTGCCATTAATTCCACAGCTACCTGGGGAACCTGCTCTGAGCTCCTGAGCCTTGATCTGGGCTTTGGGGGCTGTTCTGCAGCTTCACTCAGAGCACTGGAGTGAATAATCTGGACACTTTCAAAGAGAGCACTTGCTAAACAAAAGCTGCACATTCTGGAACATTCACTTGGGGTTTGAAACAAGATGTGAGAAAGGAAGAAGTGACTTAAAATTTTAGGTACTGGTGACATTGATAATGTTGGTGTACAATGACAGGCAGAGACAACAACAACCATCTCCCTGCCCGGCTGCTAACTGATCCTGCTGCTGTTTCCTCCTGAGGGTGGGAGTGCATGGATGGGGATGAGGGGGCAAGGAACAGAGCCCTGGCCTCTCACACTGACAGTGCTGGGTCCCTCTGGACAGCAAGGAAATCACCCTGGGCTCCCTCTGGACAGCACAGAGACCACCCTGGGCTCCCTCTGGATATCACAGAGACCACCCCTGGCTCCCCCCAGACAGCACAGAGACCACCCCTGGCTCCCTTCAGATATCACAGAGACCACCCTGGGCTCCCTCCAGATATCATCAGAGACCACGCCAGGCTCCCCCTGGACAGCACAGAGATCACTCCAGCCTCCTCACAGATATCACAGAGACCACCCTGGGCTCTGTCCAGATATCACAGAGATCATCCCATCCTCCCTCCAGATATCACAGAGACCACCCTGGCCTCCCTCCAGATATCACAGAGACCACCACATCCTCCCTCCAGACAGCACAGAGACCACCCTGGGCTCCCTCTGGATATCATCAGAGACCACCCTGGGCTCCCTCCAGATATCACAGAGACCACCCTGGGCTCCCTCTGGATATCACAGAGACCACCACATCCTCCCTCCAGACAGCACAGAGACCACCCTGGGCTCCCTCTGGATATCACAGAGACCACCCTGGGCTCCCTCCAGATATCATCAGAGACCACCCTGGGCTCCCTCTGGATATCACAGAGACCACCCTGGGCTCCCTCTGGATATCACAGAGACCACCCCAGGCTCCCCACAGACAGCACAGAGACCACCCCGGGCTCCCCTCAGAGAGCACACAGACCACCCCAGGCTCCCCCCAGCCAGCCCAGAGCCCAGCCCAGCAGGGCTGTCCTTACCTTCTCCTGGTACTGGCGGCGGGACGAGTCCAGGGACTGGATGAGGGCGGTGGCGTGGCCGATGAACATGGCGTAGCAGGTGGCCCCCACGATCATGCTGAGCATGGTGAGCCACACGTCCGACATCCCCACCGGCGCCTGCTGCCCGTAGCCGATGCACAGCATGTGGCTCATGGCCTTGAACAGGGCGTACGAGTACTGCTTCCCCCAGGAGTCGTTCTGCAGGGACAGGGCACAGCTTCAGCACGGGGACAGGGATATGGGCCAGGAAAGCACCCCTGGCACTGCACCCCAAAATCCCTGTCCAAGGTACCTTGATGTGTTACACAGGAAATTTCATTCTTTGGTAGCTTGGAGGGCTGGGGGGTCTTTGAAAGCAAGGAGGGATATGGGGTCTCAACCCCCAAATCTCTCAGAGCCCCCATAACTCCCATATCCCTCACTGAGACCCTACACCTCAATGCCCCCATAGCCTCAGAACTGCTATAAACCTCACCAAACCCCTACACCTCAAACCTCTCAAGAGACCCCATAACTCATATCCCTCACTGAGACCCTACACCTCAATGCCCCCATGGCCCCATAACTCCCAGATCTCTGAGACCCTACTCCTCAAACCCCTTAGAGCCCCCCATAACTCCCATATCCCTCACAGAGCCCCCCACACCTCAGTGCCCCCATAGCCCCCTAATTCCCATATCCCTCACTGAGACCCCACACCTCAATGCCCCCATGGCCCCATAACTCCCAGATCTCTGAGACCCTACACCTCAAACCCCTCAATGCTCCCATAACTCCCATATCCTTCACAGAGCCCCCCACACCTCAGTGCCCTCAAACTCCCTAACTCCCATATCTCTGAGCCCCTACACTTCAATGCCCTCAGAGCTCCCATAACTCCTCTATCCCTCACTAATACCCTATACCTCAATGCCCTCAACTGCACCCAATACAAGAAATTTACTCTTTGTTACACAAGAAATTTAATTTCAGAGCCCTCACGGCCCCACAAGCTCAGCTCAGTCCATTTGGAAAACAAGCCTAGATCCCAGATCTGAGGTCACCATTTTGGCCCTGGTTTTTAGAGACTCCATGTGCTTTTTCCAGCAGGGAAGGCAGCCAGGGTGCACTGCTGGTAACCTGGGATAAATCCAGATGATGCACTGGGAGATTTTCACAATGACCCACAAGTGGGAGAGGGAGCTAAAGCAAGTAATTTCCTCCCCTGGGAAATGGACTTGAACTGAGAACTGAAACAGAGAGCCTGAGCAAGGCTGCCAGCAGCAGGATGTGAGAGTGAGGAAAATCACTGCCCAGCAATTTAGGAAATGGCCAGGGTCTCTGCTCATTACCTGGGGACATGAGAAGGGCAGAAAATGAAGTTGGTAATGTCTGGACAGCAAGTTCTTCTCAGCAAAACTGGGCTTTTTCAGAGAGCTGAGGAACTACAAATGGTTTCATTTGAGAGCAGAGACATCCTGCCAGGAGAGAGTGCTGAGACACCTTGTGCTCTCCACACAGGCAGCACCTCAGCATGGCAGAGACAAAAACCAGCACAAGTTCCCTGGTGAGACAGCACTCAGGCTTAGCCTGAGCTCATGGAATAGCTCGAGGTGCATTTACCATCCTGTGGGTATTATCTGCCAGCAAGTTCTTGCTGTGAAACCTTGACAAGTAACTGCTCTGGCATCACACATGGCTCCTGCAAGGATGTGAAAATGCCTCTGCTGGGTGACAGCACTGGGCATTGCTCAGCTGCTCCCTGTTCCTGGAAGGAGCCAAGGTTTTGGATGGAGCTCTGCAGAGAGAGGTGCTGTGGCAGCTTGGAAGGTCACTGCACAGAGGTCACTGCACAGCCCTGCTGCTAGCTTGGCAATAAACAAGGAATTCTCCATCCAGAGCACCAGTGGCCAGCAGTGCTGGGAGCTCTGGAACTCACTGGGCTCCTCCTGGAGGTGACACATCACAGCCATGGGGTGGCTGATGACCTCCCTGCAGGCAGCTCTCAGTGCCTCGGATGCCCATGGAAAGTTCTCACTGACCTTACAGGGAGCAAACAGTGACAGAGCTGGGCACAGGGCTGGATGGAACCTCTGCCCAAGGCTGATGCTGGGTTAGGAGATAAGCACATGGACAAAGGCAGCTGATAGCATTACCTGGCCAGATTCAGTTTCATTATGCAAGCCAGGCCTGATTCCCACTGCAGCAAGAAGGGCAAAGCCACACAAGTGACAGCAGAGCTGACAAGGGAGCGGTGGCACAGGCACTGCTCCTGCTGCTGGTGCCAGCCTGTCTGGGCTCACCTCCCAACAGAGCAGGAACCTGGAAAAACCACCCTGCAGCCAAGAGAGAGGGGCCAGAGACAAAGTGGCCATTGGTGACTGGGCTGGCTGTGCCCTAGGCTCGTGTGTGAGGAGCCCAAAGGAGCTGCACACAGGGCAGGACAGGGCACAGGGGGTTTGTCCCCTGGCCAGGGCACAGGAAGGGTCTGACTACAGGAGCTGCCAGAGGTGTGAGGCCAAAGAGTGACCCCTCCTGCTCCTCTGCCTCCAGGCTGTGCTGGGATCTGAGCCTGGCCAAACAAGTGCTGAGTGACCCCAGGTTCTGTGGCATTTTTGGTTTTCACACCCAGGTTTTGTGGCACTTTTGGTTTCCACCCGCCGGTTTTGTGGCATTTTGCAGACCCACTTCTGCTCTGTGTGGGCACCAGGTCTTTCACAGAGCTGCCACAGGCATCCTGCCCTTCCAGGAGCCCCTTCCCTCTGCCCTGCACTCCTGGCACTCTGAGGCCACAGCCCTGCACTCAGGGATGGCAGCTGCTGGGACTTCAGCCCATCCATTGTCCCTCATGCTGAGGCAGCAGCAGGCAGCTGTCACATTTGGCCACTCTGCTCCAAATGCTGATCCCTGCAAAGGTGGGAGCTCACTGCCAGCGCTGTGGAGTGTCACAGCCCATGGTGCTGGGGCACAGTGCAGCTGCCCTGTCCCTTCCCTTGCTGAATTAATTCCTTCCCCACTCCTCTCTGGCTGTTGCAGGGATGCTGCTGCCCTCTGAGTTCAGTGTGGCAGTAGTTTAACAGGGCAGCACCGCTCCAGCACAGACCTGAGAGCAGGGACAAAGGAAGCTGAGGGAATTCCAAAGGGATTCTGGGCAGACAGAGCAGTAATAGCTGAGCTGGAAAACTGGCAGCCAGGCTCTTTAGTGGCTGTGAACATCTGGGTAGCAGGCAGGCTGGAGGTTTAAAAGCCATTCTTCCAGCAACTTGCTGCTCAGGAGTGCTGTTTACAAGGAAGCTTGCCAGTGTTTTGTAGGAATTAGTCATCCAAAACTCTGACATCCAGCATGCACAAAATTCCCTGGGAATTGCACAGCTCTGAGCCCCAGCAGCAGCAGCAGGGCTCCTGTGAGGACAGGCTGAGGGTGCCAGACTGAGGGATGGCTGAGGGATGACAGACTGGGGGGTGGGAGCTGCAGAAAACACAGAGCTTTGCAAACAAACCCTGAGCACATCAAGCACTGCTCACAGAGAGGCACTCCTGTGAAGGGGAAGCCTTTCAGAGCAATTACCTTCAGGGTACCAAGTGTGAAGAGCACTGGATGCTCTGTGATGATTCTTCACTTTCAGCTCCTGGTACCTCTTTAGCTTTCAGGTTTTTTGTTTTCCCCAGGATGAGCAGACAGGTCAAGCCCTCAGTACTTGAGGCCAGACTAGAAGAGGTTCCAGATGCAGTGTGGCCACAGGTTTGTCAGCACCAGGTGCCTCACAGTGCCACAGCTCATTCCTGTGAGAGCCATACCCTATCTAACACCCAGCTACACCAGCCCCCACTGCAGCACCACTCCACAGATACTCGAGTGGCTAAAATGGCCCATCAGGGCAGGGAAATGAGGCCTTAAACTGCAAGGGGAAAATGACTCCTCCTCGTTAAGCAAATCCCAAAGCATGCAAAAGCAGAGCTACAGCTCTGTGCCTGCTCACAGTTAAGAGGGGGTTATCTCAGAGGCACCATGAGGCTCTGCAAAAGGCACTGAAATGACTTTGAAGCAGTTTCTGACTGGATTGTTTTCAACATCCACACTGGCAGTGCTGGAAGGGCTTCTCTGGCATCAGAGTCTCAGATCCACCTTTGAATACTTGGAGGCTCTTCCCTGGAACACTTCAAAGGCACTGCTGGGTTCTGTAGTACCTTACAGAAGCACCTGGAGGCGAAAGTGTGGTGTCTGACAGAGTATTTTGGTTCTGATGTACATGTGAGTGTGCCTGCTTGAAGCCTCCCTGGAGAGGAGGAGTGAGATGAGTAAAGACATGGAGGAGTACTGGAAGTTCTTGGGATAGGGATGTAATCCAGTCATGGAGGTGATGAATCTTCTTTGCCTGCAGCATGGAAATGAGGGCTGGTTTTATGGAGTGCCAAGTGGGAAACCCCAGAGCAGAGGAAGAGCAGCACCAGCTTTGTCACCGACAAAGCCTCTAAAGGACAATGTTATGCCTGACTTACACCATTAACACTTGGAGAACTCAGGAGATGTCTCTGACCATCCCTGCCCACCCCTGGAGCTGCTGGGCTGGGAAGACACCCCTCCAGATCCAGTTTAAAGGGTGGGAACACATGGAGACGACAGGTTAAACTTCACTTTGGACAGAACCTGCCTGTTCTGGGCTTGTTTCCAAGGGAAGCTCACATGGCCTTCACCTGACTGCAGGGATGTTCTCTGAGTGCCCCAGTCCCAGCTGTCCCAGGCAGCCTTTCCTGGAGCCCACCCAAGCACCCTGTGCTCCTGGAGATCCAGACCTGGGCACCCACTCCTTGCCTGGGCATGGCACCTGTGCCCAGGGCTGTGCACAGAGTGCTTCTGCATCCCTTCCATCCCTGCTGCTGTGCCCATCTCATGCTGCTTCCAGCTTCCAGCTGGCCTCCCTGGGAATCCTGGAGTGCCTGTCACCCAGTCCTGGAGTGCCTGTCACCCTGCATTCCCTGGAAAGGTCACTATTCCCAGTTATGGGCTGCTCTGCCCTGCCCACCCTGCTCTGGATTGCTTTTGGCCCCAGCTGGGGAGGGCACTCCCTGTGCCTGCCATCCTGGGCTCCAGGATCCCACCCCATGGGAGCAGCCCTGCTCCTGCTGGCCCTGACAGATGTTCTAGAACATGGAATTTCCTTCAGATTCCTGTCCCTGTCACCCTCAGCTCCAGGTTCCCACCCCATGGGAGCAGCCCTGCTCCTGACAGATGTTCTAGAACATGGAATCTCCCTCAGATTCTTGTGCCTGTCACCCTCAGCTCCAGGTTTTCACCCCATGGGAGCAGCCCTGCTCCTGCTGCTCCTGAGACTTTCTAAACATGGAATCTCCTGCAGATTCCTGTGCCTGTCACCCTGGGCTCCAGGATCCAAACCCATGGGAACAGCCCTTCTCCTGCTGCTCCTGACAGATGTTATAGAACATGGAATCTCCTGCAGATTCCTGTGCCTGTCACCCTCAGCTCCAGGATCCCAACCCATGGGAGCAGCCCTGCTCCTGAGACTTTCTAGAACATGGAATCTCCCTCAGATTCCTGTGCCTGGATGAGGGCAGGAGGGCTGGGCTGGCCCAGAGGCTCAGGGGGAGCTGGGAATCACAGCAGATCCATGCAGGATTGCTCTCTCCCACACTGCAGCCATTCCTCTTCCCCCTTTCCATCAGCAGCCCCTGTAGGGTGCTGTGAGCAGGGAGGGGCACAGCTCCCCAGGAATGTGCTCTGGTGGATGGATCAGCCAAACTCTGATCAGGGTTTGCTGCCCTGCCCTCAGGGATCTCTGCCCTCCCTGCAGGGTGTGTGGGGCCAGCACAGCACCCAGGGGAGGAGGCCACGTGCTCCCAGCAGCTTTCAGGGCTCAGCAGAGCTGGGATCTCTGGGAGAGGAGCTGCCAGGCCAGCTCGGGGGGAGCAGCACACACTCTGCAGCTGACTCACCAGTGTTTCCACTTTTTAATAAAATGCACTGCAGGAAAACTAATGCTGAAGCCCCTGGGATTGGGACTCAGCAATTAATACTGCAAACATCCTGCCCTGCAGCTCCAGGAGCAGCCAGACACCCACTGCTTCCACGGCTGCTGCAATGGAACACGAGGCATGTGGAAAACACCCAGAGGAACCAGACTCGGGGATTTATCGAGGCCCTGAGATGATTTTGGCAACAGCAGACCCTTCACAAATCCCCTGGATGAGGATCAAACCTTTAGGAAGCAGATGGGAGGTGATGAATCTTCTTTCCCTGCAGCATGGAAATGAGGGCTGGTTTTACAGAGTGCCAAGTGGTGGGAAACCCCAGAGCAGAGGAAGAGCAGCACCAACACACCCACAGACAGAGCCTCCAAAGCATCTGGACCTCACTTGCAGCTCCCCTTGGCTGCAGCAGCTTCAGAAGATTCCCCTTTTCCCAAATTTCTGGCTCCTGTGTGCAATCAGGGCAGCCATACACAAGGATATTTATTTATCTCCTCAGAGCTCGCACCAGGCTGGTACAGAATGTCCCAAAAGCCCTGGCACAGAGGCCACCCTGGCCTCTCCCCTCCCCTCCCAGCTGTGTCCATCACACAGAGCCATGCTGGAACCTTCCACCAAAGCCTGACAAGAGCCCAGAGCTCCAGTTTCTTGTTTCCTGACTCTGTGGCCTCTCTCAACACTCCCCTCCAGATTAGATGTAAATTGTTTCACTGATATTGCCATCCACATCCACTGCTGGTCCCACTGACATGCCTGGAAACCTTCTCAGGAGATTAAAGGACATTACTGGGAGGAAAAACCTATTTTTTTCCCCAAAGAACTACTGCACTCTTTGTTAAATAGTCTAATCCCAGGCTATTTTGGGGTTGGCATATTCCTGAACAGCTTCTGGAGTGGAAACCCCCTGAAGTATAGATGGGGCATCTCTCCAGTTCTTCATCCCACATTTCCAGAGATAATGATTTTTTTTCCCACTTCTTTTAAGTGGAACAAAAAAAAAAAGGTGATTTAGCTGCAGGGAAGAAGCAGCAAAAAAATCTCCCAAGGCAAGTTTAATTCCCAGCTTCAGAGGCTCTCAAGGCTGCAGCATGAGGAAAGCTGTGCTCTGGATAGGAGCTCCCTCCCCTGCTCTCCTGGAGCCTGCTGAGCCTCCCTGCCTCTGGAATGCATCTTCCCCTCTCTCCCCATCCCTGCTGCTGGGATTTGCCTCTTTTCTTCCTCTGTCCCATGTCCTGCCACTTTTGCAGACCCTTCCCTGTGACTACAGCTGGCAGCTTCAAGCCCAGCTTGCATCTCTGCCCGAGGGATGGATGGGGAGAGCCAGGACCTGCTGCTGCCATCACAGCCAAACGTTGGGATGAGGGAATTGTGCCCCAAATCTGCTGCTCTGAAGCCATCCTGCCATGGCCAGGTCACCCCCAGGAGGGGGATGAGGCCACCTGCACCTCTGAGCTCCCTGGCATGAGGAGCTGAGTGTCCTCCTGGCCCTGAGCAGCACAATGGGGCCCCAATCTCTGACTGCTCCTGACACATAAATGAAGAAAAGGCAGCATGGGGAAGCCCAGGCAGCTCCTGCACAGTTGTTGGAGATAAGCAGAGAGTTCCAGGCTCCAGAACTGGCAGTCTGGCAGCAGCAGGAAGAGAACCATTATTGCAGAGAGGAGAAATGAATAAATAAACAGCAAACAGATGACTTTTCCATGGATGCTCACTCCTCCAGGCACGGGCAGCCTGTGCCCACAGCCCTGCACGTGGGAGGCACGGCAGGCTGGCAGATCTTTGATACATTTTACATTTGTTCTGTTCTGCCCCAGTGCTTGATTATTTCCTTTATTCAAGAAGAAATTGGCTGGGGGAATCTGGAGGTTAAGAACTGCAATAACAGGCAATTTTTTAAGCTTTGTCAGTTTTTGCTGCTTTAATCAACTGGACATTGTCCCTTTGAATAAAAGCTCCTGAATTCTCAGCAAGATGGTTGAAAGGTACCATGAATTCGCCCTGCCTTTGCCATATGGTGTCAAACCCCTCCCAGCAACAGCAGGGCACAGCTTGGGATGGCACTGGGCAGCCTGGCTCCTCATCCCGTGACCCTGGCTCACTCCGGGGTGGGTGGCTGGTCACAGTGACCCTTGCAGGGGTATGGGGCAAAGGGACCAGCAATGAGAATCATGGATCAGCCCCAGCCCTGTCTCTGGGACCCCACATACTCAGGTTCCAGCGGGAAGCAGTTTCCATGCCTGCTCCTTGCTGCTCCGTGCCAGGAGAGGGAGCCTGGCTCCTGCCTTCTGCTGCTCTGCCGGGGCCGGTCCTGCTCCGAGCCACGGGACTGTCCCTGCAGGATCTGCCTCCAAACCCTGGGATTGTGACTTTGTAGGATCTGCTTCCCTGTCCCGGGACTGTCCCTGCTGGATCTGCCTCCAAACCCTGGGATTGTGTCTTTGTAGGATCTGCCTCCAAGCCCCGGCACTGTGTCCCTGCTGGACCTGCCTCCCTTGTCCCGGCACTGTGTCCCTGCAGGAGCTGCCTCTCTGTCCCGGCACTGTGTCCCTGCAGGAGCTGTCCCCAAACCCCGGCACTGTGTCCCTGCAGGAGCTCCCTCCCTGCCCACAGTCCCGGGAAGCGCTGGGACAGCCCCGGGGGATGAAAGGAGGAACGGGAAGCTGGGGGATGGCAGTGGGTGCCGCAGGGGGGTCAGCCAGGGGCTGCGTGGGATGGGGGAGCATGGATGGCATGGGGGATGCTCCAGAGGGGAGACCCTGCCCACCAACTCTGAGCAGGTTATTTGTATTTAATTCTTTATATATATATATATGTATATGTGCATATGTGTATAAATATATATGTGTGTATATATATGTATATGTGTATATCTACATATAAATGTATATAACCTATAATATATAATATACAATAGAAATATATATTTTATATATGTTATCTATAGATATATATGTATAGATATATATACACATATATGTATACATATACATATATACATATATACATATACACATATATACATATACATAATATATAAATAACATATATAAAAGATATATTTCTGTTGTATATTATAGGTTATATACTATATATTAGATATATTATATACTAGGTGTTATATATGAATTATATATTATATACTATATACTATATACTATATACTATATATGATATATTATATAATTTATTTATATTTTATATCCTATATTATATTGTTACATTCCTAAAATATTATATATTATATATTATATATTATATATTATATATTATATATTATATATTATATATTATATTTATTATATATTCTATAAAATATTATATATAATATTTAATATATACTATATACTATATATATTTTGTATTCTAGATATGTTTTGTTATTTATATATATTTATATTTAATTGTTTGTTACGAGTCGATCAAGGGAACGAAATATACAACACCTGGCATCGGGCTCACTCTTTGGGAAGAGAGTGGAAACAGAGGGAAATTATAAAACAGGGAAGAAAGGAGGAAGCACAAGCAGGTCCAGGCGCTCTCTGGCCAGCACTCACCACCATGCGGTTGAGGGACACCCAGCAGTCGTCGGGGAAGTCCTGCAGCATGGGCACCAGGAACTGCAGGCAGCCGTCCCAGTGGCACAGCAGCAGCATCATCCCGATCAGATTGACGATCCGCACCACGGCGCTGGCCAGGTCGTAGGTCATGTGGAAGATCTGCGGGCACACAGCGACAGGTGAGACAGCAGCTCCCCCAAACAGCCCCCAGCGGCACTGCACACAGTGCCAGGCTCCAGAACCCTGCCAAAGCTGCACCAGCTCAGCTCAGGCACAGTGTGCAAGCAGAACCACCTGAAAAACAGCTTAAAGACCAAAATACAGAACCAGGCAGGCAGAACCAGCTGAAAAACCAAAATACAAACTCATCATCAGTCACCCCTCCTATAAGAATGTGCCCCCTGTTGATGGAGTGACAAAACTGTCCTCTGTCCCCTTAAAAAGGAAAGAAGCTCAGAAGTTTCTCTCCTCGATTATGTGTAAAAGGCATCTCATAGGCTTGGGGGACTTCACCTCAAACTTAAGCATAGCCAATGGGACAGGAGCCAAAAAGTCCCACCTGAGCAATTTACTAGAAAAAGAGAACAAACAAACTAATGGTTTTTGTGGGGGGTTTTACCAGGGGCAAGAACCTCTTGCACCTAGATAAATTTTTCTCTGTAAAGAGTTTATTATTTTGTCTTTTATTAAGCATTTTTGTTTCCAACGCTGCAACAGAAGCCATCCTGCTGATTTTATGCCTCCAAAGGCAGCTGAGCTATCTTGGGTGAGAAATAAACCTCTAAGAGCTTATGAGACCTGGCTCATGGAGGCTCCTATTACTCCCTCCTGCCCTGCAACTCTGCCTTCTAATTTACCGTTAAAAGCTCCATAACTCCTTCTATAAAACAAGCTGGTTGTGAATATTTCTGGACCATCAACCACCCCTGAGGAATCAACTCTGTAATTCCATCTTTTAGCTGCAATGCCCTTCTTTGCTTTCTGTTCTTGCTGGATACGTGTTCCTCAGTGACCCACGGTGGCAGCTGCCTTTGTGCTGGGTGTCAGCTGCACTCTCTGCATGAATCAAATGCAACAAGGAATGGCCTCCAACTCAGCAGAGGCTTCTGGAAGAGGATCTGATTCATCTCTTTTCTTGTACTCCTTGTGTTCTGCTGTTACAACCCTGCCCAGGTGGGTAAAAAAAAGAGAACCATGGCAGACAGGGCTGGTTTTCCTCCTCTGTCAGTTCTTCATGTGGAAAACAAAGCTGCAAACACAACTTCCTTACAGGTCAGAAGTGACACAGCCCCTGATCTAAAGGGGTTCAGGAGGCATTACCTTAAAAGGGACATGAGTGTCAGGGTGGTTGGTGACACAGGGGACAGGCTGTGTGATGTGTGCCCAAATCCATACACCTGGCTGCTCCAACAGGGACAATCCTGGCACTGTGTGCCTGCCACGTTTGCCCACACCACAGATCAGCCTCTCATCCCACAGGAAGGCAGCTCAACAGCTAAAACAGCAGGAAACCTTTGTTATCAGCAAAGGAATCACATTTTTCCAGCTGGAATTGCTGCTGTTGGAGCTGTGCAGCTCTCCATGCCCACCTCAGGGTAACACACCCACAGTGATGCCCACATGCCCAACCCTTGCCAGGAGGGAGCACAAGGATGCTGCAATCCAGAAGGATGAAGGTTTGGGTAACTGCTGTTAACTCCATTATTTCCCTGCATCCAGCCTGGAGGCCACACTGCCAGTGTGAGAAAGGCCATTTGAGTGATCTTTCAGGGCTGAAAAGAAGAATATCTCCAAAATGCAGCATGAAAGGCTGTTCTAGGAAATCCAGCTCTCACTGCTGACTCAATAGGTCAGTATGAAAGCTGAGCACATAATTCATACAGAATAATTCCTCCTGGTTTCCTCTGTTTTCCTCCCCCTGCAGAAATGATCATTCTCATTTAGATAACCCAGAGCGAATCCATCCTGTTGGAATGAGAGCCCGGGGCTGTGCTTTTAATGAAGCTGGAGCAGCAGTTTGCAGAAGGATCTTTTGTGCCATCAGGGTTTTTCTGTGCTAATGACTTTTCCTCTCACACCTCCGGGTGTTTTTCAAAGAGCTCCAGCCCTGCTGTAACCCAGGGAGCTCCAGCCAGGGGCAGGGAGAAGCCCTGTCAGACTGAGGAAGGACGTGCCTTCCTTTGATAGATGAAAAGCAGACAGTGAAGAGCCCGAGGGCATGGATGGCTCAGGGAGCAGGTGATGGATTTGGAGCTTCTGAGAGGAGGGTGGGGATCCATCCTAGTCAGGCTTCATTTGGTGCATGCAGAGAGAGGAGAGGCTGGATTCAGTCCTTGGGATCTGGACTGGAACACCAGAGTCCCTGGATGGGAACAGATCCTTGAGGGTGACACATCTGGGCTGTGGCACCTCAGAAGGAGCTCAGGGATTCTCAGAAGGAATTATGATTATGAACTGCAAATGTCTGAGCTGCAGGTGAGACAACTCCAGTTCCAAATGTCTCAGGAGTTCCCAGCTCCTGCCCACTCCTTGGAATACATTTGCATTGCCATGCAAGAGAAAAGCAGGAGCACTCCTGGTACAGGAATAACTGTGAAGGGCTGGGGACAAACTCCTGCCACTGAGAAGCTCCCACTGCAAAGAGGTGCTGGAGTCACACAGAATTCTGACCCGGGTGTTGCAGTGCCCTCCAGCACTTCCTTGGCTCACCAGGGAGAGCAGGGCCAGGAACATTCCAGAAGAGCTCAGAGGAACACGAGTAGTGATTGCAACTTCTCTGGTTTCCATCAGGAACACACAGGACTTTGTGTTCTGGTGTAACACAACCCAGGCTGGGTCCCAGAGCATCACAGCTCCTTCCACCCCAGCACTGCCTGTGCTTCCTGACTTTCTGCTGCTTGCACTGGGAAAAAGGGAGCCAGGAGAAGAGCAGAGCAGGGATTCCCATTTAAAGGATATTCCTGGATAGAGAATATCCCTGGGTTTTGACAGACCAAAACAAGCTCTGGCTTCAGCATCCCTGCTACAAAATCAGTTCTGTCCTTCCAGCCAAAGTTCACCTTGCAATTGTTGTGGAAAGGACAGCTTGGGAAAGTGGGAGGACCAAAACTTGCCTCCAAAAGTCATTTCAGGTTATGTAAGAGCTCCATCTCAGAAACTGCACTTGTACAGCACGAGCTACCGGGATCCTATCAGGAGCAATCTGAAATCCTGTCAGCCCCAAGTACCTGTGCAGCTCTCCTCCATCTGGGCTGCAGCAGCATCCTCCAAACTCAGCACCTGAGCTGGAAAGAATCAAGGACACCTTGGAGAAGTGGGGCCTGGCTCTGGCAGTGCCTCCAATCAAGGCTGTGTGGTTAATTAGGCCTGCTGCTCTGTGCTGGCACAAGGCTCAGGTGCTGTCCAAACCACGGCCACCACCATCCCTCTGCTCCAGC